ATTCCGCTCCGGGCCAACCACGTCTCTCCTCCCTCCAGGGTCAGGAAACTGGTACCAGATTTGTCTAGGAAAATTCACTCTCTGCAGTTCAATTGGGAACGCTCCAGCCCGGCTATCTCAGTCCTCCAGGGAGTTCGTGGACAGTAGATGCGAGGAAACGGATCGAATGTGAGAAGTGCTGGGATCCGCACAGTAGACGTGAAGACGGTTCAAACAAAATAAAATAAAGAAAATAAAAACTCTGAAATAACGTGTTAGCAGATCTATAGGTGGTTTTTCGATAAACTTGTATGGTCTGTAATCCAGTCATTGACCATGCCACTCGAGAGGGTAGCCCTCCGTTCATTTACATGTCTCATATCAAAGCTTGCAAAATGAATTTTTCTTCCAGTTGAACGGTAATGAAGCAAATCACATTTTTCGCAACGTTTCTCAACGAAAAGGCGTTTATCAGTAGTTTTCCAGAATCTACTGTGGAGTGAAATATTCTCATCCTACAAGCATGTCGTGTTACAATAGCCGCAGTATCCCAGTTTATCAGTGTCCCGCCTTCTAGCACTCCTCTTGCTTGAATGGCACAGGAAGCACATAGCACTTTTTGCATGATGTTCATGATTATCAGTAGGTTTTCTGGTGATCAGCTATCTACAAACGGCTTTCTAGGATATGCTGTAATGTTAGAGATACTGATAAGAAACTTTTCGAGAGTTCGCAGAGCAAATATAGAGAATTGTTTGTTAGAAACGGTCATGAACTGTTTTACATGCTCCTAATAGTTGTTTAATTCTAGGTTCCTTGCCAAATTAAGCTTTAGGAAACAGTTTACATACACTCAAGTACATCCTTCCACTTACTACATATACGTGATTATATATATACAGCCTACATACATAGGCTAGTATGGCGTAGTGGATGGTGTGCTCAGTGGGTCAGCATCTCATAGGTGGAATCAGGTTTCTAGATTTCTAATTTTCTTTTCGGGTACAGACCTAGATTTTATTTTCTATTCGATTTTGTTGGTCGAATAAAACCATGAAAATCTATGTAGATCTTTGCATGCCACGTACAAATAGTCGAATAAATTAAAAGAATAAACTCTCGACGTTTAAAGCAATAAAGGTGAGCGAAGAGATGTTTGGCCTGTGCAATGACTTGCAGTGGCCTTTCGATGTATCAAGTCAATGCAGCTATCCTCCAAGACAGGTCTGGTACCAATTTGTCCACGCCGGAGGCATGGAATAAAAGGTGGTCTTGGGGCGCTAGATCGAATCCATGTGTATTGCAGAGTGCCTTTAACCACTACACCATACGCGTCCCCTCAGATAGTCTATTCTAACAGAATAAAAGTTTGATTTTCTAGACCTCATGACACATACTTCCTTTGTAGTCTTCGAGGATTTTCGTAACGCAAGCGCGAAATCAAATGGAAAAGTGGGATTTCGTCCTGCATAACGCGGTGGTGCATCGTTCATGTTTCCGGCTGTCGCTGTTCTTATGAAAATTTTAGTAGCTTAGAAGATATTATCAGTTCTTAAGACTTAACTCTAGACACATTTAAAATTGAAATGTCGCTGCATAAAAAATGTACGTGCAGTTCGAGTGACAGAGCAGTCACCTCCATAAATTTATAGCATTGACTTCCAGACAAACTCTCGCTATCAAGAAATTGTTGGCACATATCGAAAACCTAGTTTGGGACATTATTTAGCCCAATTTAAAGAAGTAAGCATGAAAGTATGAGTAAGAACACCACTTCTACTGAATTGTGCTTGCAGCTTATGACGTTTAATTTAATATAACTGTTTACATTTTTTCGAGAGTTTATGCAAATATTCCATTCCATAAGAGAGGCGCGTGTGGCGCAATGGTCGGAGGCGTCCTGCAACACACACGTGGAGTCGATCCGCATACTCATATCCCACCAAGCCATCCATCCCTCCGGTGTTGGCAAATTGGTAACAGACTTGTCTGGGAGCATAGCAGCATTGGCTCCGTACATCAGCAGACACCGCGACTCATTGTAAAGGTATGCGTTCAATCACCTCCAACCTTCACCTACACCTTTAATGAAGTCGAATGCATGGTGGATCCCTCAAGGATTGATCGGCCTCGAGAGTTCTATCCTTTATCCTTTTATGGTAATAAATCAGGGATGGTGCTGAGCAACAAAACACCTAGTTTAGCAGTAACAACAATCAATTTTACATTAAATTCTTTTGTGTTCAAGCTACAGCGTATTTTTCATCCACTCACCTTTTTTATAGTAGGAGCGGCAGGATCGTTACATAAATGGGATATTAAACGGTAAAGATAAAGCTTTCAGCATTGGTTGATCTCTAAAGAATGCGTCATCCATCCATCCTCATTAAACATCGTTAGAAGTGATCAGGTACATATACGTCTTATATAACGACTTTTGAAGGCCTACTTGTGTATAAAGTCACTTCTGCTATCCTCTCCGACAAATTTGGTTCCTATTCGCCGACGCATGAACGATGGAAGGCTTATTGAGCTCGGGACGTGAATCGAACCGAGGACACGTGTTTGTTGGAAGGCAGCTTTAATCACTGTGCTACGCATACCTTGATATCATTAGTTCATAAGAAAATTGTATCTAGATCCAGCAACAGCGGCAAACACGGTGCATTTACATGATTTTGAAAAAGAATCCATTTTTTTGTATCCTTATAGACAATCAGTGTTTTTTCAAGCCGATTTTAATGATTTTAGCGTGGGTATATTGTCTTCTGTTCTGTTCCGACTGCATGACTGAATCATTGGTAAAACCTTTCAACGTTGAGTTTCGTTGCTGCCACCCTATTCGATGGCCTTAGATAGGAAGCCCATTATCATCGTTGAATGCGTCATTTAATCTACCAAAAATTCTCATCAAACAATCTATGGACAATACGTACCTGCTTGCGATGTGAGAGAAGTTTTAGATGGCGCCTTATGGCATTACTCCGGATTGGACCTGAATGTCACCGAATTTCTTTCAGAAGTCGGAAAGTTCGTAACGCTAGTTTTTGCCGTATACTCCGTATTCCTCTCATCTTAGTGTCCTTGTTGTTCGGATACCATAAGGATTTATAAGCTAAAGTTCCTTTTTTATGTTTTCAATGAGGAAAACCGCGATGTCGCAACATCTGTGAGAAGGTGAGAAGCATCTGTGTGTGTGTGTGTGTGTGTGTGTGTGTGTGTGTGCGTGTGTGTGTGTGTGTGTGTGTGTGTGTGTGTGTGTGTGTGTGTGTGTGTGTGTGTGTGTGTGTAGTATAGTGTAGTGTAGTGTACTGTAGTGCAGTGTAGTGTAGTAGAACGTCATCATAGCTAGCAACAAAGAAGGAATGAATGAAAGTGAGACTACGATGACCGAAGAAAATCGGAAATGAGAAAATGGGTTCGTAAGGGGTTTACCTTATTTCGCAGCAGTCTTTGGTATGTGCCGACTTGCAAGACTAAGGAGTAATTGGATAAAGAAAGAAATAGACGCAATTCTTGGAGGTAATGTGAGTAACGAACCGAATGTTCCATTAAAATTTGTGTCCGTGTCAATCTGTGCTGGTTTAAATCACTTCTTCTGCACCTTACACCATCAGCAGAATTCTGATGCCGTATTGGAACAATTATATCAACAAAGACTAAGATTTTTTCTGTCCATTCTATGTGCCATTTATGATCGACCGGTCGTCACCGGTACTACGACAAGTTTTTCCGACCGTTCCGTATCATCTCACTTGGTCACTGCCCAGAAACCTGTCATCCATTATCGGTGCACAGCAGCGTAAGCCAATCCACCGACATCAACGGCTGGCTGATAGTAGCCGACGCTCTCAGCTGTGTTGGAGCATGCACCACAGTGCATCGCTTTGTTTTCTTTTATTCTTATGCAAAAAAATTCCAGATTTTACCCGCACTAAGCTCATTACGTTGTCATTTTTAAAGCTGACCATCGGTTAAACTCGATATAAATACGAACCATTTTCTCAGATTATTAAGCTAACACGAAGTTGTTACAATATCCTTTATTGAACTAACGCTTCGACGTCTTCCCCTCCTACACAATCTCAATGATCCGAGTCGATTGTCTACAGCCGTTCATGCTCATGATATGGGTCTCCGTAGTCGTATACAGTCTAATCCCCTAGAGTGGAGCACTGTTCGAATAAATTTTTTTCACTCGGTGTGGTCTTTCCTTTGGTGTAGTTGCTTATCTCTTGTCATCTATTTTCACCCTTCGGCTTGATGGCAATGAATGCCGCATCAGTATTATATCAGGTAGCAACACTGAATAAAACTTCATAATAATCTAGATTATTAATTAAAGAAAATTTTCACCGCACTGCCATCAAGGACCAAAGTGGTAGAGTTGTCGATCTCACCATTTGCCGAGCAAACAATGTTATCCGTTTTTGAAGGTTTTGCTAGCAGATGATTGGGTCGGTTTCAATGAGAAAGTGGGCATGTAGCGATGACGGTGTTTGGAGTAAGAGAACCAGCGGTGAAACACTAAAGTGTAGCTCTTCATTAGTTTTTCAACGTACCATCTATTTTTCAATGGAAATGCGCTACCATTGTGCCAGATCTTCGAATAATACGAAAGCTAGTAGGCTTATACACACCGGCTGCTCTCTATCGACCACTCATATGTAGTTGCATAATATTTGCCTTATCATTTATATCACCTGTAGTCTTGAAAATCGTCAAAGACTCCTGCCGACTCAATCAAGACCTCTACTTGTACTTTGCCAAAGGGCCGCTTTTGCTCAGGAAGTGCCCATTCCGCTCGATACACACAGAGCGCACACCCATACCGAACAGAAATCTCCAAATGGTTAAACTGTCAGCAGATATTACTAGGCGATAATAATGCTATCAGATTAAGTCAAAAAGCTCGGTTCATATGTCTGATTAATTGTTTCTTCTTTCACTTTATCTCTTACCGTATTTACACCGTTGTAAAGTTGTTTAAACTCCCTTTTTTATAGTATCCTTAAGTTCAGATGAGATCCCTACTCCTGTTGGCCTTGCTTGCTATGGTCACTCTTACAGGTATACTCTTGAAATTCCTCCACCGTTAACTTTTTTGTATACGGCATCTAAATCAGCGTAAAGAAGTTCAGTTTAGATGGACAGATTAGCGCAATGTTCGGGAACCCGATCCAGGCGCCAAATTGTGAATCTTGGTCCGAATGGGGCCCATGTGTTTGGTTAAAGGGCAAGGAAAAACGGTCGGTTGAAGAAGAACACATGAGAAATCTAGTTGCTTGATGGATTGGTTTCAGCAATACATTTGTATTCAGATTTCAACGCTCTTACTTCGATCAACTATTGCCAGGACGTAGAGGTTGTCGAACACACGTATTCTTCCGCCTCTTAAAAGATCGATGGGGAACGGTAGCTAGATATTACGACGAATTTGATCCAGCCATCGAATGAATTAAAAAGAAATAATGTTCAAAAGGATGGAAAACTAGTTGCACTGCATATTTCACTGGGTTTTCAGTTTTCTAGATCTCTAGCTTTTCCAGCTTGCTCGAATCAATCCAGGCTTGGAGTGAAAACAACTGGTCCCTCAATTTAGCTTTTTTTGATAACCCTTCGCAAACGGATAATGTCCGATTTTTCGTAAAGCGATAAAATCAAGAGTTTCGATAGACTACTGTCTCTTCGATCGCTTCGTGTGATGACCTGAAAAAGATTTTAAAAAGTTGGATATGTTATGATGAATAAGCGATTATCGCGATAATATCTAGAGAACAGCGTTATGTGGGGAAAGGGATGACATGGGCTTGTTTTTTATCCCTTGGTTATTTTTTATTTCTTGTCTTTTCTACTTTAAACGTTTATTTGAAGGCATTTCAAAACTTCTACAGTTACTTACGTGAAATTACGTTAAGCGAACATCAATGTGGTGAGTGCTCTTATCAGCAAAGTTGCGGTCGTCAGTGTCATCGACGGTCAGTAGTTCCTAATTACTTTCTAAAATAGAAGGCGTTTTTTTCAAAAAGTAATTTGCCTAACCAGTTAGGCAGTTAACTTCATTTACGGAATCCGCTAAGAAAATTTTTCCTATCCTCGAAACGAGAACGATTCTTCAGTTTATTACAAAATGATGCTCATCCGCGTCATTTCTGCTTCTGTTACTCATGAAGTGGTTCGAGCGCACACCAGTAAAGTGATCATTTATTGGGATTTGTCCGATTGTAGAATGCGAGCTGCATCACGCTTTTGATAAAATGCTCTTTTTTCATGTTTTTTCTAACTACGCCGATAGTTCTTCAGGATGCCGCCATGCTTTTTTTCATATAAAATCCTTCATGTTTACTGATTTTCGCCAGAGGACACACATGTGTTAGTAGACGAGCTAGGTTGTAGAACTGAACTGATTCACAAGCACCTCATCGGGACTTATCAAGTCTATCATTAAAGGGACCTCCACACCACCTCCCATTCATGACGCTTCCTCCGATGTACGGGTAGGTACAAAAAGTAAGTTGTGAATCCGGGTTTGTAGAGACAGATAGCAAATCTCTTGCACCCAGTCCGCCTATGCATCGGAATAAAGTATTTACATGATAAGATCTATAGAAATAGCTGAGAGACAGGCGAAACAAAGGACCCGCATGGTGTGGTGGTGAACGCGTCCCCGGAAAGGACAATAGCGCTTTCGTTCCCCACCATAGACACCTGCGGTCCATAGTTTTGCAAATATCTCAGCAACGTTGTGGTTGTATTTACATGATAGATTTTGCTCCATTTTAAATCCCTTATAGATGTGCTACTAAGCTTCGTAACTGTTTGGGATGGTACCTATTCTTTCATTGATAAGCTAACACGAGCTTGACAACATCTTTATCCGGCTAACGTTTCAACGTCTTCGTTGTCTTCATCCGACTCGATGGTACACTGTCGTTCTTCCCCATGATGTGGTGTCTTCGCCGTCGTATCGAGTCAAATCTTCTTCAGTGGAGCACCACTGGCAACGTCATCCAGTAGTGATGCTTTATATATGACGGTTGTTGTTGATAGTGATTGACTAATTTGTTTTCCCGGAGCAATACATTCTGCAGAAATATTTGGGATAGGTTCCTCAATTGTTACGGGAGACATCTGAGATTCGTTACACTTATAGCTTATAAAGTTATTGTAGAAGCTTTATGTAGGCTTGATAAATTGACAAAATATTTGTTGTAATATTAAATTATTTAAATCCTAATACCACCAATGGCTTACCGTCCCCACATTGTAGAAGATATGCTGGCTGTCGCTATACTCGTGGAGACAACCCATCCAATTATCTAAGTAAGTAATTGTCCAAGCCTAGTATAATGTAGGCAGTTAGTGCACATATAATAAAATATATTTTGCATTTTGCGCAACTACGGTCAATGGTGGACGTTGTAGCTACTATCCCTACGTAAAGGGCGCGTGTCGCGCAGTGGTCGGATGCGCCCTGCAATGCAAACGTGGAATCGGTCCCAGCGCCCATGGTCCACCGAACATTCCATCCCTTCGGGATCGGCAGATTGCTACCAGACTTGTCCGGAAAAATAACAGCACTGGTCCTTCCCTACGTTTTGGAATATTTGTAACAGCAAATCGTCTAATCTGGACTTCAACACAGTTTCTCAACTTTAGTTTACAGTTTACAAGCTGTTGTTCTGACACCTAAAGTTTCATAGTTGTCTTCATTGAGTTGGCAACAAATAACACCAAATTTTAAAAGAAGTAGGAAGATTTCACAAATTTATAACTAGCCCAGATGTGTAGCACTCAAACGCAGCACTGAATCCGCTTAGCTCGTTAACAGCTCAGTACTGTAGTTGAGGTTAATAAAGGGTAAAGGATAAAGCCCTCGGAGATGATCAATCTTTGAGAGATGCTCCATACATTAGGGTTCCTTGGAGGTGATTGAATGCATATCTGAATTTACGATGACTCGCGGTGGCCCACTGATGTATCGAGTCAGTGCCACCCGCTATCCTTCCAGTCAAGACTGGCGGCAGTTTGCCAACCTCGGAATGATGGAAAGCTCGGTCAGCCTGATATGCGGGGATCGACCACGTATGTATCGCAGGACGCCTCCGACCACTGCGCCACATGCGCTTAACCGGCTAACATTACGGAGTATGTTTTTTTAATAAACGGACGCTGTATTCATTAGTACCTATACCAAACTACCAAGGTCGCAAACGGAAATACTAAAGGGCTTAAGTAGAGATCCTCAGAACTGTGCTAGAGGCTCCAAAGGTCCTAATACTTGTAGTGTGACCCCTGTAGAGACTTTGAAGATCTTAAAGGCTCATAAATGTTCTAAATATTGTACAGATTCGTTGCTAAAGAAACATTTCAGTGGTGATACGGCAGTGATCAATCCACTATTTGTGGCCGAACGACGTTGCATGGGAATAAATCAAAATCAGGTGCGCCAGTGAATAGATAGTTGTGCTATCGTTTCCTTTAATTAAAATGTTTTTAACCATGTTAGTTCTTGTTAAGATTACCGGGGTTATCACAATATCATGAATCGTCCACTCGTGTGCACTCTCCTTTCGTTACATATCTTCATATCATCGTAAAATTTTCAATATTACCTAGAAAGAAAAAAAAGCAGGGCTCAGAACTCAGAGCTTTCTGGAAGATAATCAGTTGATGTCAAAATCGCTATAGAAAGTAAATAATAGGTTAAAAAAACATTGTCATAGTGTGTTGTTTTCAGGCTTGTATGTCTAAGTACGCGCCAAATTGTAAACTCTGGCCAAATAGAACCGTACCGTTGCCGAACGTCACTGAAAGTATGCAGCAGATCATCGACAACCTCGACTACCTCACTTGCGTGCCACAGCATAGGTGAGTTCATCTCCAAAACGAGAGCCGGCTATTGTTGAAATCGTTTAGTTGTTCATCTCCACAACTCTCTTCTTCCTCCTTCCTTTCACTGACTACACCAACAATCTGAGATGCTCGTGTTTTCATGTTTCGCTTTCCGTTTTGCTCCTACCTCTGATAACCTCTGCTAATGGGGTGCTGAAGGGTGTCCTAAGTCGATCGAACGCTTTTTTACTGCATGAACCGATATTGCTACAATATTCATTGCTCCACTGCAACTCAGTGTTCCCATGCGAAAATTTCCTTACAGCCGCGTTACAGTTTGCTTCTTACAAAACACTGGCATGACATCTTCTTATAAACTGGACCCGATCGACCAGTCTATTGATCGATTTTAGCGGGAGTTATCGACTCATTACAGAAAATATTTTCATCGCTGAGTGTTACGATATGCTTAAAGGGAACGCAGCACTCCCTAAAAGCAAACATCAACAATGTTATGACCATATTTAGCAAATATAGGTGAACACCATGCTAAATTCCTCACGACGTCATGACTAGGGTTTTTAAAGTTGTGATGGAAATCTCCAGGGACTAAATAAAACCATATCCATTATAATTGCTATAATTCTTCCTGAAATGTGCTTAAGAAACTAGTCGTCACCAGTGGAAATTTAACTATTTCCTGAAAATTAAGAACATGACGAACTATAAGATCTTCTACCACAACGATGCTGAGAAATTCGCAAAACTTGGACCTGAAGCCAGATCGAATCACAATTACACTAGGGTTCAATGCCGATTTTACTCGTGGCTCAGTGTGTTATGCGCGAGCTCCCGAAAGAGAAATCGTGGTTCGATTTGGGCCAGCGTCCATGTTTTGCGAATATTTCAGCATCGTTGTGGTTGTTATTCACGTCATACCCTGCTGTAGAAAATTATAAATTATAAGTTATAAATTATAAAATTATAAAAAAAGTGATAAAAAAAAGATAGAGCTCTCGGTGTTGATCAATCCCTGAGGAATGCGCCATGCATTCGACTTCATTAAGTATCGTTTAAGGTGATTGAATGCATATCTGGCCTTTAAAATAACTCGCGATGGCCTACCGATGTTTCGAGCCAATGTTGCTGTCCTCCCAAACACGTCTGGTACTAATTTGCCGACCCCGGAGGAAAGGAAGGCTTGGCGGACCATGGGCTTTGGGATTGATTCCACGCCTCCAACCACTGCATCACACGCTCCTTTATTGTAGAAAATTTTAGTAGCCAGAAAATAAAAGGTTAACATTATGAGCTCTTCACTTTTCCCGTGGATCTCTATGAATTAACAAAGTGAGACTTTAGGAATTTTGCCCAGCTATACGAAAGTTATTCCAAGAAGACGAAAACATATAAGAGAACAAGAATTCGAGAGCATCAGAAAAATTACAAAAAATCAAAAAAAGAAGAAGTTGAGAAACTTAGCCTCCTTCTCCAGAATATTGATTCTTCAGCCACTCAGTTTTTGTCAACACTATCAATCAAATTTCGATCAAAAACCGATTTACAGTGTCATATTGTCGCCCGGTTAAGCTACGGCTACGGTAGCATCCTGCGTGTCAAGCATCTGCCTTCCTCAAGAAAGGTCGATATATACTGCCTCTATTGGCAAAGAATGATAATTATTTATGTGTTTAATCATTGACTTATTTGTATTTTCGCAGATACACTTACAACCAGCAATCGTATTCCACAGTTCTGTCAAGGGCTATCAACATCGCAGTTGTCATCGTCTAGGTATTGACATAATCCAAAGAAAAACTGGCGCAATTAGTTTTCAAATAAGCAGCCATTATCGTATACGACGATGTAAGAGAGAAAATACACGAAACGACCATCACTGTCTCCATTCCCAATCAATAAATCAATGAATAAGAAATGTATCTTACTACTTTAGAATCCTGCTCTAAATAACTAGAAGTAGGATGTCTGCTTTCTTTTCTACTTCAACATATCGAGATTTAACCTCTTTCTGTGATAAGATTGGGCGTGTGTGGCGCAGTGGTTGGAGGCGCCCTGCAGCACACACGTGGAATCACTCCCCGCTCCCATGGCACACCAAACCTTCTATCCCCCGGATTCGGCAAGCAGTTGCCATATTCGTCTGTGAGGATAGCAGAACTGGCTCGATACATTGGTAGGCCACCGTGAGCCATTGTAAAGGCCAGACATGCATTCAGTCACCTCCAAACGATGCTTAATGAAGTCGAATGCATGGCTCATCCCTCAGAGATTGATCAACGCCGAGAGTCTATCCTTTTATCTTTTATCTGTGATAAGACCACACTTCTCAGTCAAATCTGCACATCAATCGACGTATCGATTTCAGGCAGTCCGGCCCGGTATGTCGTTGCTGTTGTCATCCGTATACACCGAATCCGATAACGTTTGAATGTGAGCTCAAACCGTTCATCAATCATCACTAGCTGTTGAGAAATGAACACTGATCTATTCTGTCTCATTTTCAAATTTTTCAAGAAACCACTCCAGAAACCTAAAAGAAACCGCGTGAGGAGTTTTTCTTTGCTGCAAGAAGACTGAATAAATAGTTTGTCACTTAGAACTTGATACTCTGTATTTTCATTAATTTGTGAGGATACACATTCCGTTTTTCGTTTCAGTCAAGTTCCGAGCATCGGTTTAAGGTTTTACCTATGCATCTAACTTCAACTTGTCAGGGTTCAATTTGGTAACATAAACCAATTTTGAGAGCGACTGATTTATTTTGAAACGTTTCCTGAAGTTAAATTGTGGTCGAATCTTATTTGAAGAAGTGGTTGGTTGTTTCATTATCCCAAATCCCATGTGACGCATACGTAAAGCTGGCACTCTCTCTCCCTAGTTCGGTTAACTGGCATCCCTCAATGGGTGACGAGGATATTGTTTCCTAGCACGATAAATGTAAAGCTATAGTGATAATGCTTTTTATATATATCTCTCCTATAGTGACTACTGCAAGAATCTTTCCTTTCTTTATTTTGGTGGAGGTTGCATTGAATTAAAAGTGCATGCTTGTCCCAGAGAAATACCATTTCCTTAGTTAAAGAAAAACACGACCTGTCAATCGTAGGCCTCGAGTTAGTCTAATGTTTGCTTTTAGATCACCAACAAGTGATTGAACGGCGATTCATTGACGCTTCCACCATAAAATCTCCACATTGACATCGTTAGAAACAGGCCAGTCGTAACTATACCCACACCCTACTCTAGAACTCGTCGAGACTCTAGGGTAAAGTCTCCTCAAAAACAACTAAAGCAGTAGACATTATAAAAAATGTGATACTCTCCGTTTTGATTGAGGCCAGCAGACTACTCTGAAGCAGTTATCTACGGTGACAACGACGTCGTAGTCAATGAGGGTTAATGTTTATATACGTTCTTTTTTCTTTGAAAGTATAGGCCTGCCAGCCTCTCACCGTTTTTTCGTTGGGTGACATTTCAAACAACAATGAATGTTACGATGTTAGAGCTGTGGGCAATAAAAACGGTGTTGATGAGTGCTAAATAGGATGGAATCAAAGCGGCAGTCTTCCATGAGATGAAAGGTTACAGTCATTTAACTGTGAACCATGGCAGAGAGACCGCCTAGACGAAGAATTCATTTAAGTCTTCCTAAAACTTGTTGGACTGGTTATTTTGCTTCATGAGATTAGATTTTGAAAATGAGAATATCTAAAGTTTAAATAAGCAAAATTGCTCTACTCAAATTTTCTGCCCACTTCGAAGCGAAGTCGGTTAATTCCACTAACCCTTTTGTTCTAAGTCTACGATTGGTTATCACAAATCTATGGGTCTGCTTCACGAAACATTAAAAAAGCATTTCGACAAGAAAGAGGATTGCAATCGAGTTACCTCATTAATAGTTCATAGGCGGGCTTACGTATGAGTTCGCGAATGAGGATGAAGTGCAGAACATGGGTTTTCTGTCATTCGGTCGGAATTCGAGAACCTTTATTTCTCTACAACCACGAAAAGACAAAGAAACATTTGTTTCTTTTGTCTTCCATCTTTTATGAGACGTTTTCCAAAATTTGGTCCAATCGGCTCATCTCGTTTGTCGACTATCTTGTGCTCATTTGTTGTTATTTCAGTCTTCTAGCACCTATATATTTCAATTAACTATTAAAAATTATTTATAAGACTGCTCTAGATAAACAGGGAAAGAACGGATTCACGCTGCTATATATCCTTGTAATTACGACAGGTTTAATTTGTCGCAGGCATTGTTGTTGTCTTGGAAGAGAGGTACTCAGAAAACAACAAATTATCCATAATCAACTGTTTTTCTTCAATGAGCAAATAGCATAACTTGAGCAGATGAGATTCTTAGAACGTTTTGGATTAATTCCAAAAATCCAAAAATGAACCGCAAGGAGGTGTGTCTTGTGATCACGCACTTAGCGGCAATATCTCAGGCCGATTCTCTGAGCAAATCCAGGCATGTTCCTCACCCATCTAATACTATGTGTGGTTGCTCTCTACTAAATAAGTACAGAACTTGCAACCAACAAAACGGTGAGTGTTTGGAAGAAGCTCTTAAGTATCCCAATGAAAATTTATGCGTCCAGTCTAATGTGCTAAGGTTATGAAAGTGTTTGGCTGAGTAGATTGCATATCTATTTGACCCTACCCACCTTTGAAGGAGGCGAAACCTCCGAAACCTCAGTTATTGTGTGCTAATAAATACTATAATACCAACTTCGTGTTTACTCACTGAGGAAAAACAGCGAATTATAAATCAATGCCGAGGTTAATACGAAGTTGGTCTTTGGGAAACTATCCATATTTTGTTGCCTTTCTAAGCTTACACGTGTTTCTTTCAAAAACCTTCTTGAGCTTGACGTTTCTGCGCCTTCGCCTTCTTCGGAGCCTTCTTCGCTCTAGGTCGATTGTTTAAAAACGACAAACCTTTCATCCATTAATCCAAAGAGCTTATATTCTTGAAGAAACCCAAATAAAACGCGCAAACCTCGTTCCGCATAAGGGCCGACAGATTGTGGTGACAACTTAGAATCAGAATGGCCTTAGTTTTTCGAGACACCATGGAAGAAACCCTGTTAGCGAACAACATATTGGTTAAACCGAATCTGTGTGTATCCAGCATGGTTCCCATGAAAATAGAATATTTAATTATAAGCTAGGAAGGAGAATTTGTTCTATAAGAAAGGAATCAAACCTATTGTAACCATTGGGAGTGGACGTTTGTTTTTTACTTCTTAGGAAGGTGTTCTTTTTATTTGCTACGCAGTCGATTCATCTTTTTACATTTGCACCGCCAATCGATACCTACACTTGTCATTATCACTGTTGTTGAGTAGCCCGATCCAACTAAGCATTACTTAGAAAAATGCTACCCTTTGTGGATTTATGGATTTAATTAGCGATGTTATAAGATTTTTATCCGGCTAAGATTATTGACATAGTAGTCTTTAGTTAAGTCCTTAGTTTTCATTGACTGCTAATTTATCAAATTCTTAATTTTCAATTAATTTTATGTTGTTTTGATCACGTTCAAAGCGAGCGAATAACAAAAAAGGCCGCTCCATTATAATCACTCTAGTGTTTAAGATTTTAAAGTCGAGATATTCAGCTGCTCCATTAGTCAACCTCCTACTTCCACAGCAAATTGGGGAAGAGGAAGACGCACACGTTAATTAGATGGAAATCGATCGGTCTTTCGTTGTTGGAGTCTCCGTATGGCTTATTCTTACTAAATCGAATTGCGTTCCGTAATTGGACTAGGAATTTTATGGTCCCTGTAGAGTTATGTCGTTACAATTCAAACATTCGTTTTGGAAATGTATTAAACTAAAAAAGTAACCCAAAGTTCATCTCATATAGCAAAATGTATACATAAAGTTCGGTTAAACTAAACCGCAATGCTTCGCAGTTACTGGGAATTTAAAGCAGTAACAAAAATGTACCCATTACACATAAAAGCAGCAGCGCGTCAACATGTATGAGCCATATATGGCTCATTTTGTCAATATCTTAAGGGTGGCGTACGATCTCAAAGCAATGTGATCAGAACTAGAAATCGACGTAGCGGCAGTTACAGATTGGGTCCTAACCATCAGTACCCGCTTTTTTTGTCCTATTTTGTCTCTATATACAAGATTATAACAAAATTTATTTTAGGTGATCATATTGCACAAATGAATACCAGGTATCGTTTATATTATTTTTATTTGTATGCAAACTTTGATTCCAAAGTGTACAGTGGCGTGTCGTCGACAAAAAGAACTAATTATCCTTGCTCGACTCATTTCACATCTAGTTCAATGCTAAATCAATGTGTTTTGAGAATTCGCACAACATCAGATGATTTTCAGCTCTCGTTAAAAACCAAAGTAAAACACGCTAATAAACAAGGATTGAATAACTCGTCCATCGATAGGCGATTTCCCTATTAAATCTTCCCTCATGCTTTACTTTCTCCCATAGTTTTGTCATAGAACAGAGTCATTTTGTCATGTCATTTGATTACTGTAGTGGAAGTTGAAATTCATTTTCTAAAAATGAAGCAAAATTCATCTTGGAAACTTAGGTTTTTGCGGAGGTTTTCCTCTTGTGTTATTTCCTCACCGTTGATGGAATTACAGCTGCTCATCGTGATATGGGAAATTTTCTGGATATCGAGCTACGATACACAGCGATACTTATGGTCCAGTTTTGAATCTCTAATCACAGCAAGAAAAAGCTTAATGTTTCGGTCCGAGAATCTAGCTGAGAGTAAACCAGTGCTAGGATCATTCTTCTAAAAACCCACTCACAAGGTGATCAGCAGAATCAATGCTGAGTACTTTCGGGTCCAATGCCACCATGAAAGCGGATCGAAGTGGATAGGGATCGATCAAAAACCGTCTTATATAAAAGGACTCTTATAAGTGAGGTTGCTTCGTACAGGCAGTGCTCCACTGAAGAAGATTCTACTCGATACAACTATGAAGGCACCACGTCGACAGGCGAACGGCTGTGGTTCGTCGACTCGGAGCATTGGCTTCGAAGAAGACGAAGACACCAGGGCGTTAGCCGAGCAAATTTTAAAAAAAAAGAATCCATTTTCATCCGGGGTACTTTCGCTTATCAGATCACTTCTATTAGTGTGTTTCATTGATAGGCTAACAGAAGGACGACTCATAGTAGTCGTCAACCATATGCGACTCTGCTCAGCGGATCTTCCTCATTGGAAGGCAAGTAAAAACGGCTCTGAAGAAGGCGTTGCTGCCGAAACGTCAGCTACTGTTGTGTTGTGCGTCTGTTTTTGTACGGAAGCCAATGTATGCTGTATAACAACCTCGCAATTGCTGAGAAAGAAAACGACGCATCTACAATCCAATACCGATGGTAAGAGAAAGTCAATTCTGCGACTTGTTAAAAGATCACAGCCACAACGATGCTGAGATATTCGCAAAACTTGAATGTT